AGTACATTGTAGATTCCCTTTTTCCTTATATTCTTGACATCTTTATGATGTCAAGACTGAGATACAGTCTAATACTTCTGCTTAATGTTTGCCTGTTACTTTGTTTAAAAAAAAAAAAAATTTAAGAATCTTTTTGTATACAGGAACACAAATAATACAGTAATTCAGATACTGACCATTACTCTTCATTTCTTTTCCCCAAAACAAACTTAGATTGAATCATATAAAACACTATCATAATTTTCAGGTTTCCTGCTACCTATTTACTTATGACACCAAAATACATAGCATCACATTATTTATTACCTTAAAAGAGATTTTTCTAACATCAAGCACAGGGGTATCATAATTCAACTCAAGTATATACAGTCATCACCATTTCCTTATTGGAAAGTCTAAGACATTTGCCTTCAAGGAACAAACAAATCAAGGTATTTCAGTATCAATAGTCTACTCTCTACCTGTAAACTTTCATTAAAATTTAAAATCATTTAAATTATGTAGGTTTTATGCTGCTTGCTAACATCAGGAAAAGTTTTGCAATTGCTATTAATCTCTATCTGGTAACTTCAGCCTTAATTACACTGAGCGTTACTAATTTTCCCCCTATCAATCACCACTCTAATGTCACACTGTTTTATATACAGATTCCTATTTCTGCTTTTGAAGAAAATGCGTGGGATTCATCTCACTTCACTTTACCCTTGCAAAACATTTACACTGCGAAGCTGACTGTTTTGTCTCTGGCAGAGCAAGTGCTATGTAATGGGGGTGGGACACCCACACATGTCTCCCAGCTGTGTTTTAGACACTTAGGTGAGCGTGGGACAAATTTTCCTCCTATCACTGACTGGCTCCAGATAACTGTCTGGGCATGTGACATTTATCGTGGGTTTGCTTGCCTAAACGGTAGTATGTAGTGCCACTAAAGATATCCTGATGGTTCCCATGCTAACGAGGAAGGAAACCTTTAGGGAATCTGAAAAAGCAATAGACACCTAAGCATAGATAACTGAGTCCCATCCTTGGGTACCCAGCTCAGGTGAGATGAGTGTATCCCCTCCTGCTGTTCCAGGAAGACTGGAGCGGCTCCCCTGCATGCTGTGTGAGGCTTAAAAAAAGATTTTGTGCAGATTGGAGCTGCATCTCTGTGTGCAACTTCAGCCCTGTGGAAAAGCAGCAGTAGCTCTGGAAAAAAAGGCACTGAACATTTCAAAACCATGCAGCAGGATTATACAAGGGGCTTGGAACACTGTAAAATTACTGTAGAGACATTGTCTTTATTTCCAGCCCAGATGGTTTCAGGTCACAGTAATATCAACCCATCCGCTTTGTCTCTTTTGCCTGTAGAAGGGAGGCATCACTGACACCACGTGCCCAGCTTTACCTTGTGCATCGCAAGCTTTGCCTGCACTCAGCCTGGCCTACCCTTGGGCCTGTGAGACCCATCCCACTGTGGTGGCAGGACCCAGCTGGTGCCAACAGGCCAGTGGCTCTCCTGGTTTTCCTCCCTTTTTAATCCCTTTTTCCCAGACAGATTTCCTCAGATCTGTGTTTGTGGGTTGGGAAACACACCAGTAACTTCGGGCAAGCTGAGCAGATTTTGTTTCTGGATCACAAAAAGAACAATGATGGTCTTTTAAGAGAAAAGTCACCATGACACATGCATCTTTCCATGTCAACAGGGTATCCACTTTTCTGCTCCCAAGCAAGCCACTACCTAGGTTTTCTTTCAGGTGTGTTTCTGACTGAGCAGTTTGTCTTTCCCTTTCATTGTTAGCAAAAGTCTCAGTCCCAGGAAAGGTCGGAAATCCTAGCCCTGACTGACAAAAAGACAAAGGTAATTTTGGTATCTGGTTGTCTACAATTCTTGGAGAAGTCTCTTAAATCTTTATAATTTAAAATCCCTAGAGCTGTTCTTGGAGGGGCACAGACATCTGGTTTATCTCAGCCTCAGGACTTTTGACTTCCTGTAACAAGTGAGTTTTTGTGGGAATCCTTCTCTGCCTCAGCAGCTAGACAGTGGGCTGTACATTATGAGTGGTCCAGGGTCAGGCTGGCTTGCTCATCCTTCCTTCTCCTGTTTCCTTCTTTTCCACTGGAGAAAGTAGAAAATATCTGTGTGTATTCTTTATGCTGCTGTCTGTCTGTATTCATGTGTTTTTCAGAGGAAAGTTAGTCTCTTCACTTGAAAACCAATGGGATATAGCCCCAAGTATCAAACCAAATCGGATTTATTGTTAATTGAAAGTGTGCTTTGTGTTGTATTTACTGATTAGTTTGTATTTCAATTTCTGCTGGCCTTCAAAATACAGTATTGTACATCACTGGGAAGAACGGGGGGCTCTCTCCACCTCAGGAAGTCCTGTTGGTGTTAGCCATTCTCTTTCAGTATGTTTCTGATCAAGAACTTATGCAAAATAAATAGTAAACAGTAATTTTGCAGCTTGGAGTTTTATGAAGCTGTACAACTGATTTATTTCCAAAGGAGATATTGTAGGGTATGTCTTTGTTGCTCTCTCAGTGGAGGTTTCCACTGAGCAAAACTCAGTTTAAAAAGGCTATGAAAGACTTCCATTAAGCCTAAATTGAACAATATTCCAGTAGAGCACATACTTAATGAAAGTAGCTACATGGATGTAAAATCAGTTGTCAGCAAGACTGCATTCTCACTTTTAATCTTTTCTTCATAATGCTTTCATTTTCAAAGTGTACGTGATACTTCATTTCAAAAGATTTACTAATATTATCTGCTGTATTTGAACAAGACTGTATGGCAAAATATTTTGGTTGTTATTATTCTCATGTATGCTAGGGAAGCTGGGCTAGAATAAATTATTCTAACGTGAGTGCATAAATGATTTGGAAACCATACGCAGAAAGTAGTTCTCAATGATGTACCATTAAGTGCAGTTCTGCAAGTTTTTTTCCTTGTTCTGGTACTATTCAGTATTCTTTCTGACAGCTTGGATGAAAGGTTAGGAATTACGCTTAATAAATTAATAGATCAGAACATGCCTGTTGGAAGCAAGGCAATTGAAAATTACCTTGATAAAAGTAGCAGAGTAGCCTAGAAAATATCAGGTTTCCAGCAGTTACATTAGAGCAAATGGAGAATTGTACATATGGCTCAATGTAATCAGCTGCACATAAATGCAGATGGAAAACAGCTGCCCAAGCACCCATTCTGCAGAAAATGCATCTATCATAATGATTCCAAACTGAACATGCACCAGTGATGTTGTGCTACTGCAAACAGGGCCAGTGCTAATGTGAGTTATAGAAAGGGGAGTAATAACGCATAAAATGTAATTATTTTGCTCTACTCGGCACTGATAAGGCCTCAGTGGCAGAGATTTACCCACTTGCGGAAACTGCATCTCATATGGGATCCAGCAAGAGAGCAAACTGGGCTAAAGATCTAAACCACATGGGCCTTCAAGGAAAGGTTGAAGGGTTGTTTAGTCTAGAGATGAGGGGAGGAAAGGAAGACAGGATAGCCACTTTCATATAACAATGGGGTGACTCTAAAGAGGAAGGGATTTAGCTGTCCTGTATGCTCTCTGTACAGAAAAGCAATAATAGGCTTAGATCTCAACAGGGATGATTTAGTTTAAGCATCAGGGGAAAATGAAACTGGCAAGGAAAAGTGGAGCTCTGGAATAGGTTGTGTAGGAGAAGTTAATGGAATCTTTCGCCTTGCAGATGTTTTTTAGGTTAGATGTTTTCCTAACCTATTTTTATAGGTTAGACAAACATCAGCAGGCATAGCATAGATCAGGAACGGGCAAAGCAATCTCTCAAATCACCTGCTAGCTCTATTCCTTTAGTGCTTTCTACCTATGTGATAAGGATAATAATTATACATGCAAATTATTGTTAAATGTGGATATCTCCACAAAATCTCAGGGTCTATAACAAAAAACTTTAGTTCAGGAATTTATTGCATGGTGTCTGTATTTACATTAGATTGAAGCAATTATACTTTTTCTATTTTTTTGCCCATGTTAGTATAGATTGAAAATTACTATGGTCTGATGGCTTTGTGAATAGTCTTTGTGAAATATATAGGTGAACATAGTTAGATACCTGTGGTAGGATAGAAAGCACTCACTGCTAGCCATGAGAGAATTTGGTCTTTAGTCTGTTTACAGTCCATGGAAAAAAACAGATTGACACCTTTTAGAGATTAACTAAGGAGTGGGTGAATTACCATCCAAAGTTACCTCTGCCTCTCCTTCTACCTGTTCTGCAGAAAACATATACTGGGGGCATATTCTTGGTCTTACCTTTTTCCTTTAGTCTGTGATACTAAAAAAGAAAGTGTTTTTTTGAGAAACAAAGTGCTTGAACTTTCACTCTCTGGGAAAATTGTAACTGGCAGGAAATCAGAGTACATTTCCCTGGGTTCAGCAAAGCCCATTCAGTGAGTCATTTACAGAGGATTTATAGCTGTTAGAATTAATAGTTGCTGTCAATACATAATGGACATAGCCAATGTGTGTTAGAGAGACACCAAACTTGCATAAACTGCGTATTATTCTGTTCGATTCTTTCTTGTTAATTGTTTATTAATCCTCTAAATTGCTTATGCTGTATCATGTGTGCAGTGTATGAGAGACAGTACAGAAATTTTAGCCGGAAAATCTGCTATACAAAATTATGCTTTACAGAGATAATATTTTAATTAAGATTTTAAAGTACTAAGCTATTGGGCACTGAAAGGGAAAATTAGTAATAGTTTAAAATAATGGTATGTTTAATCCTGGATAATATTTTAGGAACTATGCAGTGTAAGACACCTTTCTCCCTCGTAAGCATCCTGTGGCTAACAGAGAGACTGTAAACTTTATCCCAGCTCTGTTATTTAAGAAACATTTGCTATTGCCTGATAAAAAAAGAAAAAGAAGAAAGTCTCATCTCATTTACAGGGCATTTTAAAAATTGGAATTGCGCTCCAGCAACCAGTGATGACTAGTTATTGTTCCTTTTGTCAACAGGCAAGATGAAGGAGGTTCTGGCAGCTTACCAGGTCCGGGGCCCTGCAGAGTTAAGTGAGAAGTGCGCCCATGTTCTAGCATGCATCACATCGCATCTTGGGTCTGAAGTGCCAGAAGGATCCCAGCGCTGCAGACTGAGACGGCTCTGAGCACCTCAGTACCCCGTTTCTGACAGAACCCAGGGATGGCAAACATACATATCAGTATTACCTGTCTGGGGCAGGTTTAATTTTATAAATTAAAACCATAAACTCTGTGAGTTTCTAGACCATATTTCTGCTGTTGAGGATGATCTGCTCAGATGAACAGTTTTGCATCCATCGGAGGGACAGGTTCTTCTGCTGGACCAGAAGATGACAGTGAGCTCTATCTTGTGACTAATATCGTTTGTAGCATCTCCTAGTGCAAGTAATTGAAGAACAGGTTACAAGAAAATCCTGTAGGGAATAAGACATGCTTTGTTTTAATCTACAAATTTTAAGAAATGTTTTGTTTTTTTTAAAGAGAACCACTTTTACATAACACTAAGTGTGCAGTCTACGTGCAACTCTTCACTGTGGCTATCTGTACTCCAGAGGTGATGAATTCCCTGTGAGACACCTGAACCTTTTCAGATTTGTGATGAATCCTTAAATTATGAGAGTACCATGAAAAACTAGGCGGGAAAAGTCCCAGGGCTTTTATTATACTAGATGTTTGCAATTACTTCCTGCTGGTGTCCTGAGAGGAGGAGGAGAGGACAGGAAGTAGGAATGAAATACAAAAAAATTACATTGCATTTCTTTTTTGGCATATGCATCTATCCAAATGTGTGTTTGATCTAATAGCCAAGGGGAAAGAAACAGCTAAGTTAGCTGAGACCTCACATGAAAGGTCTGCATTTTCAGGCAGTGTTTGCTAATTTTTTCTCTTGAATAGCTATAGGAAAGAAAGAATATGTATATGCCCCACCATATGTGAAAAGTACATCCTTGCCATTCCTTTATTTATTTTTGCTCTTTTAAAAATTAAAGTGCCAGTTACTTGGAATGCTGTAGTCTGTGGTCTCTTTACATTTGTTTAGTGAGATCCTTTCAGCAAGATCGTACCCATTACAGTGTAACTGCATGGTGACCACAGCTTTGGGCCTGTATAATAAAGATCTAAATTCAGAATTTTATTTCTCATCATTTTCTCTATTTTTATGTTGTATCTGCCAGTCTTTGATTGGAGTTCCACTTATTGCTGATCACTGTTTAGAAAAAGGTTTGGCAAAAAATGTTAGATAAAGGCGTTTGTACCTTTGGACATTGTTCTCCTTTGTATCAATCTTTACACAGGTCAGTAGGCAGAGGGGTAGAAAATGTTAGCAAATCAGTAGTGATGCTTAAATTCAATTTGCACATGAGGCCCCAGGGCAATAAGGAGATCAGGCTCTTCACATCCTGGATTTAAGGCCATACTAAAGTACTTGACATCTGGTTTCTATTAATTAGTAATCCTGGTAAGGTATGGGAGGAAAAAGCTGAGTCTAAGCTGGCTTTGATTTGCTGTGTGTGTCATACATTGTGCTGAATATACGTACATCAGAATTTAAAACCCAATTAGACTCTTTTTCCTTCCTCCTCCTTCTTCAAAGATAAAATTTTAAACTATAAAAAATGTTATTCATGTAGCAATTAAGTTTGTGTGAGCAAAGACTGCATTTCAAATATTAATGTGGTCCTCACGAGGCTGCCCTAGCCATGCTGCGTTGTAGGCAGGGTTTTCAGGCATGGTGCTGATGCTATAATTAGCTCATAGCAAACAGAGCATCCCTAACCTTTGGAACCTCTTAGTACAGCATCCCTGTTATCCTGCTTCTTATGTAGTTACTTATGGATGGCAGAGTGCTGACTGCTGTAAAGTCCACACCAGAGTGTTTCAGCATGAGTGAGGGCAGACAAGAGCATCTCGGTGCGTTTTCCTGATCAGTCTGAGCTATTTAAGGCTGTGCGCCTACTCACAAGGGGCAGTCCTGTCTTCCCCTTCTGCCCCACTCACCCCTTCCATCTACCTCCCTGGAAGAGCTGCACACCTATGAGGCTTCCTGGTCTGACTGAAAAGATCCCCATGTAAGAGTTAGCTCTTGTGCTGGCTCTGACACTATGGAAAGGCTGGGAACAACCAACAGTTTATCATCAGTTACTGATGGAGGAACCGTTCCTTCAGGTGCCTCTAACTCTCGATTAACTAATCCTATTACCTAAACTTTCTATTTAAGCACATTACTTTCATATGGCTAAGACGTATTCCTTGATTCAGTAATGTTGCAAATTAAATAAAGCACTGGAAATTAATTAAATCCATCAAGTTAATTATAACACCTTTAAAATTACCTGTGAGTGGCAGTATTTGAGTGACCACAAAAATATAGTCATGAGAGGAATGCATCCTTGCCGTTCAAATTACTCTGAAGACCAAAACTTTTTCAGAAAAACAGAAGTAAAATCTGTGTGCTGCAGCAGTACGAGGGCAGCACAAGCCTCCTGTGCTAGCAGACCTGTAGCTGTTGATGAGGTATATGCTCAGAATGCAGCCAGCTGGACCCTCCAGAGCTGTAGATGCTTGAGCTTGACCATGGTACCATTTGAATTCGAATGTCAAAATGACTTGCCCCAAGATCAGGGACTGTTTTGGAGAAACAGTCTTTTGTCTGTACTATACAAGGGGCTGCTGGAAGCTTGACTGTCCTGTTGGGTGAACTTTTCTGACAAAACGTGTGACTCCTGCCCATCTGTTGAAGGAGCGATTATAAAACAAAACACAGCAAAACAGGCAAACCTCCCAGCACTCCAGTTAGGGCAGAGGTTGGAGTTTTTTGTTTTTCGGCTGAATTCCCCTTTGAGAAGCATCCCAGTGCTTTCCCTTGGCATCTGGACAAGCTCTCCTTTGTGAAGAGACATGAATATGGAGAGACCTGCAGTGCACCCGGCTCTTCAGCCAGCTTCAAAGGAAAGTTTCAAAAGTCATTCTTTTCTGGCAACTTTAAACATCCGAACTGGGGCAGTGATGGCTTTACAAACGGTATTAGTTGACTTTGGTGACTTGGAGCAATTCAGTGTTTGCACAATTAGAACAAGTACTTGGACTATACATGGACTGTGTAGCGTAGCAGGCAAGAGTGTTGCTTTTGCTGACTGAATGTAATGTGAATATGTAGTTTACATTCAAATAAGATGGTCTTAAATCAATTCCTTAGCAGACAATAATCCATTCCAAGAAAAAGAACATCTGTTCAGGAACCAGACCTGAAATAAATAGTAGTTTAGAGACAAGCCTTTTGTCCAGCATTGTTTGGGTATTAGACATCTAAGAAACAGTTGACTCTCCAGGTCACAGCTGGCGTTTTGTTGACAAAGTAAGAGCTTGTCTCTGCTACAGCTGACCACAAATCTTACCTGCGACTGTAGTTCTGTTCCTACTGCCAGTCTGCATCACTGTGATAGCACGGGCTTTTATAAATACCAGCTTGCTTTAGATTACTTACAGTAACATTGCCTTAGTTTTGAATTGTGTGTGTGTACATGTGACTGTTGATCCATCATATTCACGCAAGGGAAGACCCAGCAGTGGCTATCAAGTTGTCATTTATCTCAAAAAAGCCCAAGTTTTTTAAAGAAATTATGACCATATTTCATAAACAATAATCTATCTTATTTTTTTAAATTCTGTTGCAACCTCTGTATAGGAATCTCCAAATACTTGCCAAATACTAAATAAGAGAGTCTCACAGAAGTTTCCAGGCAGCATACATTTTATTCTAATGTATAAGTAGATAAGCCAAGTCTCTGCAGAGCTAAGTAACCACACTAATCTTTCAGAAGTTGCTGCACAGCAAATAATAATGTACAAAACTAGTGATAAATATGTACAAAATTAGTGTTAAATATGTAAGGAAATCAACATCTTTAATTATTATTATTGGCATGATTTTTCTCATTCCCTGTTGTGCTTGCCTTCTAAGCAAGGAAAGCTCCTCTGTTAGCAGCTTCACTTCCACCTCAGCTCTGTACCTGTCTCCTCTCCATCCTGCAAGAAACAATTATATTGTATTACTTCACCTGATAACTGCCACGCACAATCTCTGTGAAGGGTCACCTTTCTACATTGTGTTGGGTCACTTCTTGGCCAGTTTCAAGGCTGTCTTCTTCTCTGTCATGGTTGCCACTTTTGCCTCCTAAGGATAAATGATGATCTTGAGGTAATGTCTGGCTTTGAAATTAGTCTTTGCTGATGAAATTGGAGGGAGAGAGCATGTTCCTGGCTACGTTATAAAGAAGGAGGGTTTCTGTGGTGTGAACAAGGCCCTCCATAGGTGGTGATATGCAGCCACTCTGGGTGTTGAATATGAGGTGCAGAGTTAATGAAATACTAACAGTCAATCATGACTTTATTTCCCATATGTTGTCACTGTTTTCTTAAACCCCATGGCAGAGCTGGAAGTTGAAGTGATGGGCAGAATTAACAGCACTCATAAAGGCAGATAGCAAACCTGACTGGGAAAACCCTGTCCTTACAAAGAACTCCCCATGCAATTACTTAGGTTAAAAGAGGCAAGGCAGCCAGGCATGCTCTCTCAAACAAACTTAAATCATGGACTGGTGAAGTCAGAAGATTGCAAGGCAGCACTGAAAATGGAGCATGTGCTGTTCACAGCAGTTCTGCTTTTCAAGAAGGCTTCCTATTGCCAGCACAGGCCTTTAAAAGACTTTCTCCCTTTCTGTTACTACTGCTAAGGATGAACAGAAAATATTTTTATCAACTTTAAAAGAAAAATGAGTGTAAAAAAAGCATTGTCAGTGTTCTGACATTCTTAAAGCAATAAATACACATTCCCAAGGAGTGTGGTGGATTCACTGTCCGGGAGAATACTTAAGTGAAGCTTCATAGTCATTCAAAGGGTGGCAATGTCCTGATGCAGGCAGAAGCATTGTGCTCAATATGGGGACTGTTGCTGACATGTGCTCTGTGGAGGGTTATGAAGACCTCAGATCTGGTGATCTAAATGACCCCAAGCTCCCTGTTATGTAATCCCAGTCACCTTTCACAGCTACCATCCTCGCTTTACTCCAGTGTTCACTTTGTATATATGCACTAGGGAGTTCATGCTCTGTCTCCATGGGAAGCTGGAAGTGCAGAGTTCTAAAACATTAGAGCAAGTTAGAAAAATAGCAATTTCAGTTGTACCTGTGGTAGTCAGCTGAACAATATTTTTCTTAAAACCCTAACTATGTAAGTTCAGAGTGAATAAAGCCCCTAGCTGTTATTTAGGCACAAAGCTCCCTATTAAATCCAATTAAACTGGAAAATGAGAAACAGAATATTCAAAACTGTGTTACTTATCTCCTTCAGTAAAGTTCTGGAAGCTGGCCAAAACCAGGCAAGTGTTTACTTATTTGTGAACAAGAGATTTGGTTTTGAAAAACAGCCCAAAATATATGTGAGATACAGGTCAGGTTCTTGTCATGAAAGTGCTATAAAACATTTCTGTTAGTCTTGCTTTTGCTGCGACACTGAAGTGTCCTGCACGATACAGATTTGGATGGTTTCAGGAATTCTCCTCCCAACAGCCTTGTTTATAGCAGCTGGATTTCTAACCGATAACCTTCACAAGGCCCAGACTAGGATTTGCTCTTTGGTTTATTTTGGTTTTGTTAATATTGTTTGTAAACCAAAGAACCACAAAATAAAAGTCAAAAGGTAAAAGTGAGTCCAGGTAAGCTAAAACAGAGACCTTTGTGGTTTCCAGCTAAGAGTCCCTGTCTGATGCCACATGTACCCCCCGCTCCCCAGCAGTGGGTATATTCAGCAACGGATTAGAGATGTTCTCTCTGATGAAAGCCCTGCCCTGCACAAAATCCTGATGGTGCTACATGGCCAGTGTGACTTTCTAAGCACCTCGGCTTTTTTTAGCTTGAGTAAAAACTGAAGCACTTGCAGACCTAAAGTAGTCGGCTTTCTGACGGTTTCAAGCCAGAGCTTGACAAAGATGGGGCCTGTTACTTGTGTTTGCTGAAAGAGCTCCTTTGCACAGCAGGGGAAGCAGGAACAGCCTCTAGTGTAAATAAAAGCATCCCCACGGAGTTTGAACAATTATTGTCATCTGTATCTGGAAGACATTCAAACGAAATAA